CCAGTTGTTATCGGCAAATGCGACCACTTGCTAGTGCCTCTGCTTACCGCAAAGCGTGAAATATGCTGGGATTCTAAATTTTCACACGCTGTTTTTAAAAGCTGATATGGCATGGAAACGGTCCCTGGTTGGATGCGAGTTTCTGTCGACCAAAAATGGCTTCGATCAGGCGTCGTTTTACGGTGGCGCACAATCGCAGCTTCAGTGTTAGTGGCTGAAGCTGCCTAATGTTAGTGGTTTTGGCGTTCACCTTCCTGCTTTCTTTTTCAGTTTTTTCCGAGAAAGAAGACAAATGTATATTTAGTCGCTATGCCGCTTGTGTGATCCTTCTGCCAACCTGTTCCGTCACGCACTACCATTTAGAGGAGAAAGTGAGCTGGGAATTTAAGTATGTTGCAACTTATTTAATGACGCGTTGCGGTAGTGGCAAAAAGCAACACTAACGAAGGTTTCGCTATCACCTGAGTGCAAAATTAAACTGACAAGTTTCTCATAAAAGCAGAATTTTACACGAGTGATGGAAGAGCAAACTTGTTACGGGCAGTTCCTCAGCCAGTGGTGAAATAAGTGAGAATTGCTTGGAAGTCAAACAAATGGGCAGTCAAAGACAGGAGAGAAATCCGTGAAAAGCAAGGCGACTGAGGGTTTATTTGAATAATTGTATTTTTGAATGAAATTTCTGCATCAGACGGACAACGCTTTAGAGCCATGCCCATAAAAAACCTGGCTTTGACTAGTTTAGTGCCTGGAAGAACGATAAAGAGGAAGCTCATCTCATTATCCAGTGTCTGAGGAAAAACATATGAAGTAGAAAAATCTTTCGTACAGTCTTGAGGCATTTTTCAATAAAGGGCGTGTCAAAAACTGCACTGCAATATGTGTGGATAAATTCTCAGCATTTCGTTTTGCTGGAAATGTTGCGATAAGCTCCTCGAAAAGGTTCGCGCCAAAACAATTTAGACCTAAGCGAGAGTATACCAGTTACATAAGTATAAGAGAAAGCGCCCTAATATCAAAAAATAAAGAGGTCACGCGATTCTAACGAAGAATTTAAGATTTTCAATGTTTCCCTTCCTTGTTGCGTCGAAGGAGTCACACAATCTCATCACTAGTGTTATTATTATTTTGTCCATTTACTACTGATGAGCTTTGTGTACATTTTTTCCACAAACTGATGTATTTATTTATGGTCTCTGTACAGTTATTCCATGATTGTTGTGTGTGTGTTATTTATTTATGCCCGACTGACTATTTTGTTTAAAATCCTACAAAAAAGAGAACTATGTGAGCGATAAACTTCCCCCCTCCCCCTTCCTGCTTCCGTCCCTCGCCCGTTATCGACTCTGATTATTTCTTTGTTTCATGCATTCTCAACATTGATAAAGGCATTGTTCAGTGTGGAACAGACAAATTTTATGAAATGAATACAACATGCTTTGCGGTCACTACAGTTCGTTTTCCTATGCGAAAATTTGAAAGACTGCCTTTTACTTTTAATAAAAACAGTACTGCACCTTCGCTCCCATGTAGAACTATTAATATAATCTAACTATTACTGCTGATGTGCGCACATACCTACGTGAATTGCGAACGTGGAAAAAGCCCGCAAATTTTCGGAAAAAAGAAATCTGTGAGTCAATCAAAATTCGATTTAGATAGTAGCTAACCTTTTTACAAGATCCGAAGTCTGCCAAATCGACAAGCTTACAGAGAGAGCTGAATGCTACTTGGAATAAGCGGCGCAAACGAATGTGCTGGCTGCTACTTTCAGCATCGTAACACAAGCACAGTTTCTTCACTTCCTCGTCCAAATTAACACTGCAACATCGAATTTCACAAAAAACCTGACAGTCAACTACACTATTACTTGCAACAAAAATATGGGATAAAGCTCGGTATATAATCATCATGCAAAAAGCGAAAACCCGTTCATAGTTTTTCCCGAGCAGCGAACAAACCGGGAAATTCTTTCGGACAATTTTGTTCCTGTTGCTGTAACTGTTGGCAAATATTTAGTAGCTCAAAAGAGAGAATGCATCAGCTTTCATAAATCTTAGCTGGTAAACGAGTGATTCAGAATAAACTTTACTTTTACAGAACCGAAACCGATAAAGAAAAAAACTTCCACTTCCGCTGGAAAAGAATAAAACTTCCACAAAAAGCAAACCGAGTAATGGGTCAGTTACACTGATTAAAAAAGACGGATTAAACAAAGGCAAAAAAAATCGGACTAAAAAGGACAGGCCTGAAGCCCAATACCATTATTACACGCAATGAAAGCGACGAAAAGGCAACATAGTGCAACATGTATATACATATAAAGGAAGAGAGGGAGACTGAAAGTTTTTGAAAAGAAAGCGATGGAACAAAGGAAGTAGTCAAAAATCATACCAACTGATGGCGATACCATCATCACAAGCCGTGTCATCAATATCACTTCTGCATAACGATTCAAGCAATTTTACATTTTTACACAATAACACCGATTAATTTTTGCAGAAAACGCAAAAAATATCAAAATTATGACTAAACATATTGTATCTGATTGATCTACCCTATGCATATTTGTAAACCATATGACTCGTAAAAAGTGAGTGCAAAAGCCTCTACTAAATGTGCAAAAAGTGTGAGAGTTAGGACAAAAATCAATGTGTAACAGTGACTTTGCTTCAATAAATCAATAGTACGTATCAAAGAATGCAAATTTGATGCGCCGAATTCGGCGTCTAAGATCTTAGTGCAGTAAGAACTTTGGATTAATTTGAACACTCAGTCCAACTTATACTTTCAAATTACAGTACGCCTAAAACGCGCTTACACAGTAGTTGGCAACCTGTCAACGGCAGTTATAACTAAAACTGCGCTATCTGACTGATAGCCTGCTAGAAATCTCATCCACTCCTCAGTGCCCCTTCGCTCTTCCAAAAAACCCTTGGCGTCGCAAACTCTTCCTGTATTTTTCTAAGCGATGCTCATCATCCGTAGGAGAAGTGCCGATTGAGCTAGTCGCAGCACAATGGATTTTAGTGACGTCAAACCGCCGGTGCAAAAACAGATATGGACCGCACTTGATGGTGAACAAACAGACCTGAGTTTGCACTACAAAAATAAAGTGAAGCTGAAATATTCCCAAGCACAGAGCCAACCAACGCATAAGCGCATTCCTTAAGTCACTAAAACAGTAGAATTCCACTGCTTTACGGGTCGATTTCCTACCGGTATGAAGTTGCTAAGAGCAAAAATGCTTCCAGCAAAACCATGCACACAACAAGGTGAGTGAGCACTACAGATACTCCGAAAATATTTCAAATAAAACTGACAAAATAATCCGCAAATTTTTTTAGTCCACTCAGTCAGAAAACCAGAGAAGCTGAATGAAACAGAAAACTTTATTATGAAGTTTAAAACAAAACTCCACAGCGAGGAATAAAAAAAAAATGTGAACCTGTGAACACGCAGAATTAGGAGTAAATATATAAGAAAATGATACACATTTATAAACACCCGAAAAAGAAGGGAGAAATGAGGGATTCTTTGGCAAGATGGAAAAGCATACCCAACATCGAGTTTAGCAAAACATCCGAAAGCGACGCAGTCAACGAAATCAGCATGAAAGCAGAAAAGTGCATTCAGAAACGATTTTGCCTGATCAGACTGTAAGGCTGCAGCTAGTGAGAGGCTGCCCGTATTGATCAAAACAATGCGTACAATTTCCGTGAACCTGAAAAACACCGCTTCCAGTCTAAACAATTTACTGAATAAAGATTTTTGGAGAATAAGGGTAGTGAGATGGAGAATGCATCTGAACGCTTCAACATGAAAGCCGAGAAGGAAGAAAGATGGAGAAGCTGCCATTTGCACGAACACAAGAAGGAAGGCAGCAGTGAAGT